GTGACAGATATGGATCTATTTGTAATATTTTACATATTGACATCCAGTTATGCCAGCACCATTTGTTGAAGATACTTTTTTTTTCCATTGTATAGTTTTGGCTTCTTTGTCAAAAATCAGGTGTTCATATGTGTGTGGATTAATGTCAGGGTCTTCAATTCGATTCTACTGGTCTGTATGTCGGTTTTTATACCAGTACCAAGCTGTTTTTATTACTATAGCTCTATAGTAGAGCTTGAGGTCAGGGATGGTGATGCCTCCAGAGGTTGCTTTATTATACAGGATTCTTTTAGCTATCCTGGGTCTTTTGTTTTTCCATATGAAGTTGAGTACTTTTATTTCCAAGTCTGTGAAGAATTGTGTTGGGATTTTGATGGGGATTGCATTGAATCTGTAGATTGCTTTTGGTAAGATTGCCATATTTACTATGTTAATCCTACCTATCCATGAGCATGGGAGATCTTTCCATTTTCTGATATCTTCTTCAATTTCTTTCTTTAGAGATTTAAAGTTCTTATCAAAAAGGTCCTTCACTTGTCTAGTTAGTGTTATCCCAAGGTATTTTATATTATTTGTGGCTATTGTAAAGGGTGATGTTTCTCTGACTTCTTTCTCAGCCCTTTTATCATTTGTGTATAGGAGGGCTACTGATTTTTTTGAGTTGATCTTGTATCCTGTCACTTTACTGAAGGAGTTTATCAGCTGTAGGAGTTCCCTGGTATAATTTTTTGGGTCACTTATGTATACTATCATAACATCTGCAAAGTGAAAGTTTGACTTCTTCCTTTCCAATTTGTATCCCTTTGATCTCTTTTTGTTGTCTTATTGCTCTAGCTAGAACTTCAAGTACTATATTGAATAAATATGGGGAGAGTGGGCAGCCTTTTCTTGTTCCTGATTTTAGTGGTATCACTTTGAGTTTCTCTCCATTTAATTTGATGGTGGCTGTTGGCTTGCTGTAAATTGCCTTTATTATGTTTAGGTATGTTCCTTGTATTCCTGATCTCTCCAAGACCTTTATCATGAAGGGGTGTTGGATTTTGTCAAAGGCTTTTTCAGCATCTAATGAGATGATCATGTGGTTTTTTTTCTTTCAGTTTGTTTATATGGTGTATTACATTGACAGATTTTCGTATGTTGAACCATCCTTGCATCCCTGGGATGAAACCTACTTGGTCTTGGTGGATAATTGTTTTGATGTGTTCTTGGATTCGGTTTGCCAATATTTTGTTGAGTATTTTTGCATCAGTGTTCATGAGGGAGACGGGTCTGTAATTCTCTTTGTTTGTTACATCTTTGTTTTCTTGTTTGTTTGTTTTTCCATACAGGGTTTCTCTGTGTAGCCCTGGCTGTCCTGGCACTCGCTCTATAGACCAGGCTGGCCTGGAACTCATAGAGATCTGCCTGCCTCTGCCTCCCGAGTGCTGGGATTAAAGGCGTGCTCCACCATCTCCCTGCTATCAGTTGTTTTCTTGATGGTAGCCATTTTGATTGAATTGAGATGGGATGTAAGAGTTTTAGGTTTCATTTCCCTGATGGCTACTGATGTTAAACACTTTTTTAAAAAAAATCTATTGGCTGGTTTTGTTTGGTTTTTCCAGACAGGGTCTCTCTGCGTAGCCCTGGCTGTTGTAGATGTATTTCCTCTTTTAAGAATGCTCTGTTCACCCCTGGGTGGTGGTGGCACGTGCCTTTAATCCCACCACTCAGGAGGTAGAGACAGGCATATCTCTGTGAGTTTGAGGCCAGCCTGGTCTACAGAGTGACTTTCAGGACAGGCTCCAAAGCCACACAGAGAAACCCTGTCTCAAAAAAACAAAACAAAACAAACAAACAAGAATGCTATGTTCAGTCCCTTAGCCCATTTTGTGACAGGGTTGTTTGTTGATGTTCAGTTTCCTGAGCTCTTCGTGTGTTACAAAGGACTGGTCGTCTGTCTGATGTACAGCGGGCAAGGTTGCCTCCCATCCTGTACGCTGCCTCTTTGCTTGCCTCTGTTTCCTCTGCTGTAAACTCTTTAATGTCTTGAGATTCCACTTATCAATTCTTGGACCGATTTTCTGAGTAACAGCTACAAAATGGCACACTCAATTTCCAAATTCTCACAGACTGTAACAACTTCTGCCACTGCCCAAACAAATGATCCCCAAAGTCGCTTATCTCTGATTTTTTTTTTACTTTCCACTCTTTTTGTTTGTTTTCGAGACAGGGTTTCTCTGTGTAGCTTTGGAGCCTGTCCTGGATCTTGCTCTATAGACCAGGCTAGCCTCGAACTCACAGAGATCTGCCTGGCTCTGCCTCCCGAGTGCTGGGATTAAAGGCGTGTGCCACCACTGCCTGGCTCATGATCAAATTCTTTAATGTGCTCAGAACCATTCACATACTCATGCTAAGAATAAATGTAATTCATTTACAGGGACAAGTGTTATTTAGCCTCATGTATATCTTTTCAAGGTTGGCTGGGCGGGGGTGGCACACGCCTTTAGTCTCAGCACTCAGGAAGCAGAGTCAGGTGGATCTCTGTGAGTTCAAGGTTAAGCCTGAAACAAGTAACCAAAAGCAAGTAAGGTTTGTTTAAAATGAGGTATAGTTAATAGACGGCTCTTAAAACCCCCCAGAGGTCTGCTGAATATGGTATTTATAGTATTTAACAAAGGTATGCTAAAATGAATTTTAAAATTTCTTAAATAAAAAAACAAAACAAAAAATCCACCACCACCCCCAAAAAGCTTCCCATGATAAACAGAAACGCCAGCACCTGGCGGCAACCCCAAGGTCTCCAAAGAAGACGTGTGGCACAGACTATTCCACCTGGGTTGTGTTAATACAAACCACTGGGAAAAGAACTGCCCTGGGCCTCACCTACGGCCAAGGCCCTGCCCAAACGGTAGTCACTTTTGGGTTGCCCAGATAGGCTTCACCCAGGTAGGTCAGTTTTTCCGAGTTCCTCCTCCACAGGAAAATCTCTCAAACCTTCTGGGTCTGGCAGCTAAAAGGCTAATGCTGTCCTATGTGACAGCCAAAGACTGACAAACCGACCCCAACAAAACCATTGAGATTACCATGAGGGAACCTAGGCTAACCGCCCAGGTGGCAGCTAAGTCTGTCATTTTAACTGGTACAGAGATCATTTGGACCATATTTCCTGCTCTGATTTCCTTCTCGGGTCTCTGATGATGTTAACGGCTAACTGTAGCTTCATCGGTGTGACAGCAGCAAGCACCCTGCTCTCTTCATATGTGAAAATCAGACTCACAGACAGTTTACTTTGACGGCAGACTTCATAGGAAAAGAGACAAACTCACAAAACAGGTTTCAATGTAACTTCTTACCACTCTTTACTTAAAGGAGCTTGCTTTGCAATGCCTGCTCTCAGTTATCAGCCACTTTTGTCTCCCGGTTAATGATTGGAGGGAAAAGAAAAAGTTTGAGGTTCAGAGTTTTAACATTAATCAATGGAGTTCCCATAAGCTATTAATCTAGCTCTGGCAAAGTACTGGCCACTGTCATCATAGTCACAAGCTCAAAAATTTAAATTCCCTTTGGTTGTTTTCTAAGTATATCTTTAAAAGTGCTTCTCCAGGGGGCTCAGCGGTTAAGAGCACTGGCTGCTCTTCCACAGGACCTAGGTTCAAATTTCAGCATTCATATGGCAGCTCACAACTGTCTGAAACTCCAGTTCCAGGGGATCCAGAACCCTCACACAGACATACATACATACAGGCAAAACACTAATGCTGTGGAATATTCCTTTACACTGTGTGAATATATGTCACTGTGATTGGTTTAATAAAGAAGCCGACTGGCCAATAGCTGGGCAGGAAGAGATTGGGCAGGAGAGCCGGACCAGGAGAATGCTGGGAGGAAGAAGGAAGGAGTCTGGAGTCACCAGCCAGACGCAGAGGAAGTAGGAGATGATAGTGCCGTGTTGAAATAAGGTACCACCACGTGGCAGAATGTAAATAAGAAATATGGGCTAATTTAAAATGCAAGCGTTAGTTGTAACAAGCCTGAGCTATTGGCTGAGCATTTATAAGTAATAATAAGTCTCCCTGTCGGTTATTCGGGAGCTGGCAGACAGGACACTGCCTACACACTGATGCTCATTAAAAAAAAAAAAAGTTTCTCTTAAAAAAAAATAAGTAAGAGCCAGGCATAGTGGCACATGACTTTAATTCCAGGAGGCAGAGGCAAGTGGATCTCTGAGTTTGAGGTCAGCCTGGTCTATAAAGTGAGGGTCTACAGGCAGGACTACACAGAGAAACCTTGTCTTGAAAAACAAAACAAGGAAGCTGGAGAGATGGCTCAGAGGTTAAGAGCACTGACTGCTCTTCCAGAGGTCCTGAGTTCAATTTCCAGCAACCACATGGTGGCTCACAACCATCTGTAATGAGAACTGGTACCCTTTTCTGGCCTGCAGTCATACATGCTGTATACATAATAAATAAATAAATCTTTAAAAAAACAAAAGAAAAGAAAAACAAAAGTGCTTCTCATCATGCTGAAAACATATCTCTCTAATCTATACACCCAGCCCTCTTGACAGAGGGAAGAGTGTTCATGATTTTAACCAGAACCATCCTTTTGGGTCCCCAAGCTTTTGCTGCGGCTCAAAGGCATGTGTCTACTCCAGCTGTTTGAAGACACTGTAAACGGCTTTTACTGCAATGGGGATTTCACTATAGAGTACAGTGTTAATGTTAATATATCTAAAGCTTTCATCTCTTTTCGTAAACTCAAAAAATTCATGTGAGCTTCGGGAAGTCACAACTTGGATCCACGTGTCACAGGTCAAACAGACTCCAGATAACTCCTGTCAGTCAACAGATGACTAAGCTTTCCTGCCTACTGCCTAACCCTGAGGATGGAGCTCTCTCTCTCTCTCTCTTTACTTCCACACTCCCAACTACCAAGACCACAGGCCTGGAAATTTCAAGTGTATACCCAGGGTAAAGACTTTCCCCGCTAAACTCCTTAATTACCCTCTGTTCTTCGTCTAGATCTGTCCCGGCAGATTTCCAATCAGCTGCAGACTGCAAACTGCTCCCGAACTGTCTGCAACGTGCCAGGCCCAGGTCATCTCCTCACTCCAGGCATTGACCAGCATTCCAGCCTTCCTGTCCCCCCCCCCCCACCATCACTCTCTAATTTCAGCTTAGAAACAGTTAAAGAAGAGATTACTTGGCACTTTATCATCAACAAAAAGGCTGGAATGTCGAGTCCAAAAATGGCTAATTGTGGAGCCTATAAGATACTAAAGCACGTGCTGGCCTCCAGCTCTCTCAGCATCTCAGAGTCCATGTTGGCATCTTGGTTCCTCTCACTCCGCCCCACCATCCACAGAACTGCTCCAGCTCCTAGGCTTCCCTTCCCCCAGCTCCTCATTCCTATATACGCTGCCATTTCAGCTATGTGTTCTCGGCCCCCTCTCTCTTGGTCGTCTCTTCTCTTCCTCTCTCACTCTCCTGGTCTCTCTCCCTTCTCACTGCCCAGTTCACTCTGCAGGCCATGTTGAGTGTACACTTTCTCTCTCTGCTCTGCGGTCTGTCTACACATTCCCGATGCCGTTACAATAAAAAACCTTCCCCTCAACCATACCTTGGAGCAGTCATGCCCTCACTTTATATACACTACCATCCCTTTTAGAATGGAAATGTACAGTCTATGCCCTTGTATGATGGAAGTATGTAATTTGCTTTTATATTTTACAGGAGTTACAATTAAGAGATTGCCTTGAGTCTCAGAAGAGACTTTGGACCTTTTTTTGATGTTGTTGTCTTTCTGTGTAGTTCTGGCTGTCCTGGAGCTCACTATGTAGACCAGGCTGGCTTCGAACTCACAGGGATCTGCCTGCCTCTGCCTCCCAGGTGCTGGGATTAAAGGCTTGTGCCCGGCTCTGATTTTGGACTTTAAAACTACGATATTTTGAAAGACTATGGGGACTTTTGAAATCAGGCTAAATACATTTTTTGCATTATGATATGGTCATGGTCCAATGGGAGTCAAGTATACATTTGAATGAGAAGATTCTCCCACACAGACTCATGTATCTGAACACATGGCTCCCAGTTGGTGGTGCTGTTTGGGGGGTTTAGGTGGTACAGCCTCGCTGGAAGACAAAACATCACTGGGAGCAGCTTGAGATCAGACGGCCGCGCCTGCTTCCAGTTTGCGCTCTCTGCTTCACACCTGTGGTGGAAGATGCGGTAAGCCCTCAGCTTCCTGTTCCTGCCGCCGCCATATCTTCTTCTCCTTGCCGCCATGCTTCCCTGCCACGATGGACTCTCTCTGGAACAAAATCCAAACGAAACTCTTCCTTCTATAGGCTCCCTCGGTTGTGTGGTATTTTATCACGATAACAGAAAAGTAAAACACCTTCTAAAAGTTTATATATCAGCTCTTCTGATTTTTCAAATTGCCCCTATCTATCTATCTATCTATCTATCTATCTATTTTGTTTGTGACAGAGTCTCATTATGTAGCCTAGCCTCAAACACTTGATCCTCCTGCCTCAGCCTTCCAAGTGCTGGTATTACAGGCGTGTGCCACCACGTCCAGCAAATTGCAGAAAATCTTGGAAAATGTGGGTTTGAGTGGATTCATATAACTTAAACTCATGTTGTTAAAGGGTCAAGTGTACTTTAAATAGAGGCCTGGGGTACAGTTCAGTGCGAGGGAATATATAGTCACTGTGGTGGGGAGGGGTTATCAAACTCTCCAAATTCTCCAATCAAAAGAACGAACGCAGGAGCAGCACTGGCTACTCTTCCAGAGAACTCAGGTTCAATCCCTAGCACCCAGACAACCAGACAGCAATGGCAGCTCACAACCATCTGAAACGCTGGGTTTTGTTGTGTTTGTTGTTGTTTGTTTGTTTGTTTTTGGTTTTTCAAGACAGGCTTTCTTCGTGTAGCTTTGATGCTTGTCCTGGATCTCGCTCTGTAGACCAGGCTGGCCTCAAACTCACAGAGATCCGCCTGGCTCTGCCTCCCGAGGGCTGGGATTAAAGGCGAGCGCCACCAACGCCCCACAAAACTCTGGTTTTCTGGACTTTATGGGCACTGCACATCTGGTGCACAGGCATACATGCAGGCAAAACACGCAAACACATAAGAAATAAAGGACTGAGCTGAGCATGATGGCATATGCCTGTATCTCCTAAACTCAGGTGACCAAGGCAGGAAGGTCATGAGTTCAAGGCCAATATGAGCTACATAGAATAATTCTTCCTGAAGAAAAATTTTAAAAGAGAGATTATCTCAATAGATAAAAGCACATGGTCTAAATACATATCAGCAAAAGACTCACTTTAGATCCAAATACACAGATAGTTGAAAGTATACTGCTGTCCTGTGCAGCTTCTCCTTGGCACCCTAGCTGGGGCCAATGAGGGCAGGAAGAAAGGGCAGACACATGTGCAGAAAAGCTGGGGTCAGAGGAGTAGCTGCGCTCTGGTGGAGTTCCACCTGCTGCTGCTGCTGCCGCTGCACCCTGGAGCGGCGTGTTTACTGCGCTGCTTGTGCGCAGCACAGGGAAGAGGGCTTAGCTCGTCTCAGACTGTAAAGACCAGGACGACGACGACGAGGCTGTGGATGCTAGTGTTACACACACTGAGCAACTGTGCCTTCGTACACACACACCCACACGTAGACCACAGGAAGAAGGCTTTGCCATTCTCTAGCCTGGCCCACATGGGGATAGGGGCTTTGTCAGTTTCCCACGGGTCTGAGTCCGTGGCCCTTGTCATGGCTGTGCCCAGGTTAACAACGCCACATCCATTCAGAACTTCCGCTTGCTCAGAGCTTCCTCCACTCCCTACAAAGGGGTATTTCAACAACCAGGAACCCAAAGAAAGTGGCGGTGGGACCGACAGTGAGATGGCTCAGCGGGCAAGGGTGCAAGCTTACCACCAAGTATGAGGACCTGAGTTCAACCCCCGGAATCCAGAAGTACCCAAATAGTGTAATGAGAGAACCAACTCCCCCAAGCGGTTCTCTGACCTCCACACATGCACTGTGGAAAACATGTGCTTGCCTACACACACGCACACATACACACACAAACACACATACAAATAAAATAAATAGAAATCTTTAATATAAGAAAACATGAGGGCCTATGTTATTAGCAGATGAAACAAACTTTAAATTAAAAAGATATAGTCAGGTGGTGGTGGCTCATGCCTTTAATCCCAGCACTCGAGAGGCAGAGGCAGGCAAATCTCTGTGAGTTCAAGGCCAGCCTGGTCTACAGAGTGAGTTCCTGGACAGCCAAGGCTACACAGAGAAATCCTGTTTTGAAAAACCAATATATATATACAAAGACAATGTAGCCAGACAATGGTGGTGCACACCTTTAATCCCAGCACTCAGAAGGCAGAGGCTAGGCTGATCTCTAGGTTCAAGGCCAGCCTGGTCTACAGAGCTCCAGAACAGTCAGAGCTATGTAGAGAGACCCCCACCCCCACCCCCCAAAAAAACCCTTATGTGGTCAGTGGTAAAGGAGCTTGCCTGATAATCTAAGTTTGATCCCCGGAGCCCAAATGATAGAAGGAGAGAATTAGCTTCCACAAGTCGTCCTCTGACTTCGATATGTGGGCTGTGGCATGTATGCACCCATATACATACAAATAGATTAAGAAAGTAATAGAAACACTAAAAACCTGTTGCTGTAGATACCATATATTGCAGTCACAGGACACCTAAAAATCAAGCTGGAGCTGATCTGGAAGCTCCCTCCCTGCTGGTTTGGCCTTTCCGCGCTGGAAGGTGCTGTGCAGGCTGCTGGGGCAGGGAGGTCACCAACAGTCTAACACAGCTGTGGACGCCGTGGTCCAGCTGACTGTCCAGGCTAAATGTGCCCATTGGTGAAATAGTGGCGGGTCTGTTATGGAGCAACCAACTGCTTTCTGGTTGGATCTGAGGCCTGCCTCACTGGAGGGAGCTTCCATCTGGTACCGTGACGCTAGCCAAACACCACGGCTGTGAGGTCATGGACCCTGGTGGGGAAGACACTGCTGTTGTTTTGGTAAATGGGTGTGATGTGACTAGGTGATGATGTTTATGCATAGATGAGTGCTGCTGTCAGCTTCAGTTAGAAAAGCTTTTGTTGCTGTTTTGTAGTGGGCAGCAGTAACTATAGAGACTCATAATTGGTCAGAGTGCTGAGGCTAAGTGACTATTGAAGGCTCAGCCATAAGCAGGACATCTATATCATCCTCTGCAAGGCTTGGGGAGCATTGCGGAAGAGATGGAAGAAATAACGTCATCAGTGAAAAGGGGGGACTGCTGTATGATGAAGTCTTCCAGGCAGGACATGGATATTAGAATGTTTTGTTTTGTTTTATTTTGTTTTTTGTTTCTCAAGACATGGTTTCCCTGTATAGCCCTGACTGACCTGAAACTAACTCTGGAGACCAGGCTGGCCTCAAACTCACAGAGATCCACCTGCCTCTGCCTCCTGAGTCCTGGGATTAAAGGCATGTGCCACCACCGCTCAGCTAGGATATTATAATCTTAACTCACAGTAGTGATTATCTACATAAGACCTGCACAAGATTGGGTCCATCAACATCCTGCCATGCAGTGTGGGGAGGGGACTCAATGCCCCACTCTGAGACCTATGGTCAGTTCATGATTGCTGGGGAAAGGAGAGACATTTTATTCATTGGTATAGCCACTGGTAAGGTGCCCATGCTCCTGTACATAGTCGCTCACTCACACGCCTATAAGCAACCCTAGAGAAATGGTCTCTCTCTCTCCCCCCCCTCCCCCTCTCTCCCCCCCTACACACACACGCACACGCACGCACACACTCATGCACACACATATTCATGCACACTCTCATGCAAACACACTCATGCACACACACACACACCATATGAAAGTAGAAGGGGGAGTGGTTGGAAAGAAGATGGGGATTAGTGGAGGGGAGAGGGGACAAGAGAGAGTAATGGGGGGGATATGCTCAAAATACATTACATATCAATATGAAAATGTCAGCATGTAGTCACTATGCAATTATCTATAAGTAATATGTGCTAATAGAAACATAAAAAGGCTTAAAAGAGGATGAAACAGAACATTATATAATCAAAAGATTTAACGCATGCCAGTTCTAAGTATGCATGCATGTAATGATGACCCACCAATGTTCAGAAAAAAGTCTCAGAGTCAAGGAGGAAACATCCCTACAAGGGTAGCTGGGAGCTGCTGTGTCCCCAACCCAAGCAGAACACCAGACAGAAGTAGGAGGAGAAATAGAGTTCTTAACATAAGAGAGCCATGGGACCCAGTGCAGCACTGCCCAACACCCACAAGCACACAATGCCCAAGTGCACAGGGGACATCATCTTGGAACATGGGGCAGGCCGCAGAATGAGTCTCCATGACTCCTTTGCAGAACATGTGCCCTGCCACTGGGCTCCACTTGTCCTCGGAGGCAGACGTGAGACTGGGGCACCTGCCCTGACCCGTGGGATGACGTAGAGGCTGATGACAGAAACAGAACAAAAATGGAAATGCATAGAATGTGAGAGTGAAGATACAGCTTTTGTTTGTTTGCTCCGTTTGGTTTTTCCAGGCAGGGTTTCTCTGTGTAGCCTTGGCTGTTCTAGAACTCACTCTGTAGGCCAGCCTGGCCTTGAACTCAGAGATCTGCCTGCCTCTGCCTCCTGAGTGCTGGGATTAAAGGTGAGCACCACCACTGCCCAGCGAGCTTCTTAAACAAGGAATCAGAGACAAAATCACAAGGGAGATTAGAAAATGCTGAGCAGTAGGTGAAAACACAACACCCCACAATCTACCAGGTCAGAAAAGCAGTGCTGAAGGGAATTAGACATTTAATATTACGTTACTAAAGAAGACAGGTCTCAAACCAGCAGCCCACCTTTGTGACCTAAAGAACAAGAAAGAGAAAACTAAACTAAACTCAAAGACAGCGGAGGGGAGGAAAATAAAGATTAGACAGAAAGCAAACGGAAACAACAAAATTCAATGAGACCAAAAGTTGGTGTTTTAACTATCAACACGCTGTGTGTGGTGGTGCACACCTTCAACCCTAGTGCTTGGGAAGCAGAGGCAAGCAGATTAGAGAGTTCAAGGCCAGCCTGAGTTCCAGGTTAGCCGGTGCTATGTAGTGAGATCCTGTCTTAAAAAAAAAAATTAATAAACCTTTAACTATCTAGACAAAGAAAAGGAGAAAGGATATAAACAGTAAGATTAAAAATGAAAGTGGGAGTGGCTGAAGAGAAGGCTGAGGAGTTAAAAAGCACTTGCTGCTTGCGGGAGACCTGGGTTCGGTTCCCAGCACCCACATCAGGCCTCTCACAACGGCCTGCACTTTCAACTCCAGGGAACCCATCCCTCTCTTCCGGCCTCTGTACCGGC